TTTTTGTGGACTTTCCTGTGAGCATTGACGTATCAATGTTTGGCATTTGTGTGCCTTTGTCACTAGAGCAGAATTTGCCATGGATCTTTGTTAACTGTACGATTCCGTGGGACTTGTAGAGCATTGCTTTATGCGCGACATGTTTCTAATTCCCATACGTGTTCCAGTGTCCGTATAAGCTGTTGGGACTCCTTGACGCGGGTCAAAACTACACCTTCAAGTTCAACACTAAACGAGGATGGATGCTAGCGGTTAAGAACAGCGACGCCGAATACGTGTCCTCCGTAGACTCAGACAAGTAATCATACAGACGATGTTTGAATAACCGAATGATCTTGAGCACCTAGTCATTTTGCACACAAAGCAGCCCGACATCCACACTGCTACGGGAGTGGCGCACTTAACATCGGCCTTATTATGGTGTTCACCTTAACTTGCAGCTTTATGTTCTGAAAAAAAGACACTTCAAACTCCCACAGATACTCGCAATGTTGTTTACAAAGTGATTCACGTTTTGTTGCGCTGAGCACTTGCACTTGTGCTTGTTGCTTTGGTAGTGTTGCGCACTATGGTTTGTTGGCGTCCCTTGACTGCACCTGTGTTTGGACGAGCCGCCTGTTGGTGCTGGTGCTCAATGCCTACAGCCGTGCACAGCAGCGTAAGCTCTCGTGACGCACGTTTCGCCACCATCGCCCCGCCGCTGAGGCCCTGGTGTGAGGTCGCACTGTCTGACGACGCCGTGCACCTTTCGGCAGGAATGAGCTGTGTGCCCTGCATGCCGGGCTGGGGGACAGGGGCGTCTACAGCCTGGCCGTCAGCTCGTCCGACTGCACCCTCAGCACGCTCCAGCAGCCGAACAACATCTACACCCGTGAGTGTGCCGCGCGCGAGATATGGCCGGGAGCATGTCATCAGCTTCAAAAAACCAAAACAGCACGGTTCAAAGGCCAGGTCATCACACTGGGAGAGCAGGGAGAACGGCAGGAGAGTTCGTGCAGGAACTGTGTCTGAAAATGCTCCGTGCCGTGGTAGTGTTGGGGGACGTTGCTCTCAGCTAGAGTACAAGGCCAAATTAATTACTCTGATACCACAATGAGAGCGTGAACGTGCTTCCCAGAATGCGTGAATCTGATTTCTTCGAACGGGGCCCTGCTTGCAGAAGGTTAGACGATGCGCCTTCTATGATGACTGGATTGTGATAGATGAAAGGCCCGCGGCACGCAGTCTGTGGGGCTCCGTTTTTTCTTCTTGCTTTTTTTTTTGTTGTCACGCATGAGGAACTTATCCGATGTTGGGTGTGCCCTTGAAATACTTTTCACTGTACAGTTGTGGAGCACGCCATTCTTTGTCGCAAATGCTTCTTAACTGCCTTTTTTATCCGTTTTCGTATCGCTCCATCATATCACTGGGAGGTGTAGAATACTTGCAAGAGAGCCGACAAGCTTCACAGCAGTGACCTACACCTGCAACACGGGAAGTCCAGCAAGAACAGCGCAACGTTTCCCCTCGCTTTGTCACGAAGCTTTGGCCATTTATGGCATTGCAGCCGCTCTCGATACGCATCAGAACCCTCGTCACTCGGCGCGGCCTGTTTTTTTTTCTGCAGCGCTGTGGATTTTTGCCGTGGTCTTGCTCGTGCTAGCAACGATACACGGCCTATGGTCCTGCGTCGCGGCCAGACTCCGGCGTTGCTGGAACGACGGCTCTGACCTGCCATCTGGCGAGCTTCCCGAGAGGCTCGACTCGAAGCAGAAGTCAGCGAGGCTGGCCGCGCTTGACGTGTTCAGAGGGTTAGTATCCGAGTCAGGGTTTACGCCGCGGGGGGTTATGCACGGCGTCTAAACATAATGGTCGCTGGACCACGGCCACTGCGCAACAGAGTATGTGTGTTGTTTCATCGCTTTTTCGGAGAGTTAATGTCTCGCTGTGTTGAACTGCGTGCTGGGTGCTCTGAAGCCAACACGCGCCCGGGTGGCCGATGCAGTACCCTTGGCTCGGGCGGGGAGGGGGTCAATTGGGTTCCCAAGATCACAAAAACTAAGACAACCAGAAACAACAAATTCACAGGGTGAGTTGCACGCATGTGAAATCACTCGTGTCGAAATTGGAGGTTGCTAGGTCATGATCTCGGGGTTAAATAACGTAAAGAGGTCAGACTCCGGACTGTGTGTGTGTACTGACTGTGTGACCAGTACTGACAAAGTGCCTCAGACCTCCTCATGTTACCAACGTTAACCGTTCTACGCAAAAGGTTCATGGCGTCCATTTATGGTCAGTGATCTCGTTTGACCTCAAAAGGTCAAGGTGACCAAAAACCTACGAGATTGCTCATATTTTGGCGTTCAAATAAGCGTCGGGGAATACGCTGGGTGGTACATTCCTAACACAAATTGCTGACCTGCGTTATTTCAGATCAGTGACCTACTCTGACCTTTAAAAGTTAATGGAACGTGTGAACGTGAACGTGAACGTGAACGGTCACTGTCATGAGTGAATTTGAAATGAGTACCAGAAAGTACCACACAATGCAAACTTTTGAGCAGACATCCAGGTCAGTGTTAACTTCGGTCTTGCCTTTGCACCTGGCAATATGACAATTGAATTTCTTGCAATTATAAATTTAATTGGTTTGTGACCTAATTAACCATCTCAGAGATGCATGACTTCGTCTACCTCCCCGCTGCCGCATCAGATTAAACGATTCCCCTAGAAATAACTTTCGCTGACTGCCACGGCCTGACTTTGACCTGCCATAGGCCAGTGACCTTACAAGGTGTAGCTAGTTTTATTTAAACAAACGATTCCCTATTGAACTGCCTACAGCTGTGCAAAATTTGGCGTAGCTACGTCAGACCTTTCGGACATTTTGCTGGAAAAACCTGTGAGCGGTCAATCGACTCCTCACCCGAGACTCCCCACCCGACTCCTCTCAAAGTTAGACTGAAGTCCAGTCCAAGCCCTTTAATCGGCCTTAAAAGTCTTTCTTTGTCAAGCACAGCACGCAGATAGCCTTGAATCAGTTACAAAATGTACTGAAATTTCAAAATCCAGATTTTTTTCTTAAAATGACTCAAACAAATATTGTGTGCGTGAGCCCCGACACCTCGATCTGATGACGGCGCTGTCTTGTGGGTCAGGATCACCATCTTGCTGATGATCTTCGTCAACGAGTGGCAGGGCCAGTACTGGTTCTTCGAGCACGCCGCCTGGAACGGCCTGCTCGTGGCTGACCTCGTCTTCCCCTGGTACGGCGCACGCGCGGACGGCCATGCGACAGTTACGCGGCCGAGCCGTTTCCTGTTTGAAGCGATTCGCTTGCATGACAGTCGCAAATGGTGGGAACTAGCAGGCATGCATTTTTTGTGGATACGTGGTATGTGCATCGTGCACTGTAAATGTGTAGTTTCGGCCATGCCCTCTGTTAGATACATTTCGTGATTTCCAGCAAATGAGGGGATGACCATTGACGTACCTGATGTATGACTACTAGCAAGCGCTTGAATTACTGATGGGCATGGGTGTTTCCAGGTTTATGTGGATAATGGGTGTTTGCATACCTTTGTCACTCGGATCGCAAATTCGGAAGGAGAAATCGATGACCAAAATCATTTACCACATTTTCAAGGTGAGTTCATGTGTTAAGCAAAAGGCCTGAATGTCTCGTATACATACATACGTAGTTGGGTTAACTCCTCGCAAGCATGAGAAGCTCATGCTTTTTCGCCATAGAATGCAAAACTATCCAATAATGACACGCCAGAGACGTGCAGAGATAACGCGAGTTTGTTATGATCACGGCATGGGCCGAGGACTTGAGGACTGGACATGTCACAAGCTCGATACGAAAAATGTTGCCGGTTCAGCTCGTGATATAAAACACGCTGTCATTTAGCAATATTAGCCTCAGCAACCTCAACAGCTTTTACAATTCGGCCCGGAACTAAATACGGAGCATCACTGCCGTCTGGATTGCCCAAGAACTGCACCTCATGACACCATGTATTGCAACCTCGAGTGAGCTGCCGTGGTAGTTGTAGTTGACGTCAGCGGATGTTAACTAATGTCAGTCACAGCTATACTCCTGGTGGCTGTGGCTGACATCATGTGACCCGTAGCTCTCATGGTGACTGTGACTGACATCCGTGTGACCTGTAGCGCTCCTGGTGACTGTGGCTGACATCCGTGTGACCTGCAGCGCTCCTGGTGACTGTGGCTGACATCCGTGTGATCCGTAGCGCTCCTGGTGACTGTGGCTGACATCCGTGTGATCCGTAGCGCTCCTGGTGACTGTGGCTGACATCCGTGTGACTTGCAGCGCTCCTGGTGACTGTGACTGACATCCGTGTGATCTGTAGCGCTCCTGGTGACTGTGACTGACATCATGTGACCCGTAGCTCTCCTGGTGACTGTGGCTGACATCCGTGTGACCCGTAGCTCTCCTGGTGACTGTGGCTGACATCATGTGACCCGTAGCTCTCCTGGTGACCGTGGCTGACATTCTTGTGACCCGTAGCTCTCCTGGTGACCGTGGCTGACATCATGTGACCCGTAGCTCTCCTGGTGACCGTGGCCGACATTCGTGTGATCTGTAGCTCTCCTGGTGACCGTGGCTGACATCCGTGTGACCCGCAGCGCTCCTGGTGACCGTGGCTGATATTCGTGTGACCCGTAGCTCTCCTGGTGACTGTGGCTGACATCCGTGTGACCCGTAGCTCTCCTGGTGACTGTGGCTGACATCTGTGTGACTCGTAGCTCTCCTGGTGACTGTGGCTGATATCCGTGTGACCCGGAGCGCTCCTGGTGAGTGTGGCTAACATCCGCCTGACCTTCAGCGCTCCTGTTGGCTGTGGCTGACATCCGCCTGACCTTCAGCGTTCCTGGTGGCTGCTGCTGATCGGCGTGGTGCTGAACTCTCTGGGCGGCTACATGCGCCTCGAGACGTACCGTATACCGGGCGTGCTGCAGCGGTTCGCCGTCACTTACCTGGTTATGGCTCTGGCCACCCTACCCGCCATGGCTCGCCGGCCCCGACTGCCCGAGGTCAGTCACCGCCGACAGTGCCACCGGGCCTTCCAACGATCTAGCGGCTGTATAACGTAGATGTAATCGCGTACATAGTTTCCTTGAACATTGGTGGGTTCCGGATGCTCGCCAGGCCCGTTCCTTGGAGGGAGGCTAGACCGAGCCTTCTGAAGACGCCTTTTTAACAATGACTAGAAAACCTGACTTTCGGTGATCTGATGGATGCTTAGATTGGTTGCAAAGGACTTGGAGAGATAGCATCACAGCCCATAGGGTCTCAGGCATTTTACGCTAGTCTTTTATCGCTTTGGTGTTCCAGTTTGCGTACAGCTTTTATGAGGCACAGTCAAGATAGTACCATGCATTTTATAGCCTTTGGTTTACCTCAGAGAAGGCTACAATTTCAGTGAAGTGTATTCTTGTGAGTGAGGTTTTTCAGCTAACTGGCATAAAGTATGCTGGAGAGGCTTCTCAGGCTGTCATCTTAAGCTGGAATGGAGTCCTTCGCTCAGAGGAGCAGCCTCTTCTTCAGCTGGGAGCTTCAGTCTCTTTTCACTTATTTAGGGGAAAATGGGACCAAGCCGGGGATGGATATGTTCTTTAGTGTATTTTTTGGATGGGTTTGGCAACATCCTTTGTTTAGCCCTGCCTCCGCTTGAAGGTTTGGTTGGTGCGAGTTCTGTTTCACCCACCACCCATCTGTCGTCAAGGTGGGAGCTGTGAGATTCGTGGGAGATGGTGTTCGACCGTCTGCGGTTGTGAGTTGCGAGATGTGAGGGGGATGGCATTTTACCGTCTGTGGCTGCGGGCTGTGAGATGTGTAGGAAATGCTGTTCGGTCCTTCTGCGGTCTTGAGCTGCGAGATGTGTGAGAGATGGTGTTTGATCGTCTGCGGTTGTGAGCTGTGAGATGTGTGGAAGATGGTGTTTGACCGTCTGCGGTTGTGAGCTGTGAGATGTGTGGGAGATGGTATTCGACCGTCTGGGTTTTTTAGTTGTAATATGTGTGGGAGATGGCGTTCGACCGTCAGGGATTTTGAGCCGTAATAGGAATGGAAGATGGTGTTCGACCGTCTGCGATTTTGAGCTGTCAGATGTGTGGGAGACGGTGTTCAGTTGTCTTGGTGGGGCCTGCAGCCAATATTTGTCGCAAGCCCGGACGGTGAAGCTAGCATTTGCTTGATCGCTCGTTCTACTCGTCCCATATTGGAGGAAGCCTGGTGGCGCCTGCACTGCCTTCAGAAATTTTGTCAGGCAGATAAGACCTTCTAGAGGAGACACGATTCACCATGGCTGACTCTGTTACACAAGACGATCCAGAAAGCGGTTGAGCTTGCTAGGTGTTTATCTGTGCTGTGAATGTGCGTGGGCCCGGTCTTTTTTCACCCGCGCGTGCGAGCTGAAACTGAGGGCCTGGTCTTTTTTCACCCGCGCGTGCGAGCTGAAACTGAGGGCCCGGTCTTTTTTCACCCGCGCGTGCGAGCTGAAACTGAGGGCGTCGCGCTCTGAGGAGGTGCCGTCAAGGGAACACGCCCTCGGCTGCAAAAGGTTCGCTCCAGTTCGACTCCAAGCAACTCTCAATAACAGCTATGAATGAGAAAGCTGACCTCATCTAAGGGAACACGCCCTCGGCTGCAAAAGGTTCGCTCCAGTTCGACTCCAAGCAACTCTCAATAACAGCTATGAATGAGAAAGCTGACCTCATCTAAGGGAACACGCCCTCGGCTGCAAAAGGTTCGCTCCAGTTCGACTCCAAGCAACTCTCAATAACAGCTATGAATGAGAAAGCTGACCTCATCTAAGGGAACACGCCCTCGGCTGCAAAAGGTTCGCTCCAGTTCGACTCCAAGCAACTCTCAATAACAGCTATGAATGAGAAAGCTGACCTCATCTAAGGGAACACGCCCTCGGCTGCAAAAGGTTCGCTCCAGTTCGACTCCAAGCAACTCTCAATAACAGCTATGAATGAGAAAGCTGACCTCATCTAAGGGAACACGCCCTCGGCTGCAAAAGGTTCGCTCCAGTTCGACTCCAAGCAACTCTCAATAACAGCTATGAATGAGAAAGCTGACCTCATCTAAGGGAACACGCCCTCGGCTGCAAAAGGTTCGCTCCAGTTCGACTCCAAGCAACTCTCAATAACAGCTATGAATGAGAAAGCTGACCTCATCTAAGGGAACACGCCCTCGGCTGCAAAAGGTTCGCTCCAGTTCGACTCCAAGCAACTCTCAATAACAGCTATGAATGAGAAAGCTGACCTCATCTAAGGGAACACGCCCTCGGCTGCAAAAGGTTCGCTCCAGTTCGACTCCAAGCAACTCTCAATAACAGCTATGAATGAGAAAGCTGACCTCATCTAAGGGAACACGCCCTCGGCTGCAAAAGGTTCGCTCCAGTTCGACTCCAAGCAACTCTCAATAACAGCTATGAATGAGAAAGCTGACCTCATCTAAGGGAACACGCCCTCGGCTGCAAAAGGTTCGCTCCAGTTCGACTCCAAGCAACTCTCAATAACAGCTACGAATGAGAAAGCTGACCTCATCTGGCATGGGCAGAGTTCTTGTGCACCAATAGCCACCCTCCTTCTAGCCTCGGGCTTTGCACGGCGCCACAACCGACAGAGCGTGGTCGATTAGCTATCTATGGCTACCGCAGAGGTTTTTGTGGAGGGGAGACCGTACCTCTGGTCTGGGAAACCAGGGGTACGGGGTTCGATTCCCCGCGGTGCTCGCCCTTCCTGCCCGGGTGAGAGGCGACGCCCTGTAGCCTCAGCAGCTGGGTTCGTCGTAAACCCTCAATTACATACAGGTCGGGAGCTGTCTTGTCTCGGCTTGGACGAGGCGTTGTCCGCCAGCTGCCAGCTGGGCGGTATTTTGGAGGGCCCGTCTGGGGTGCATTCATTGGCTGTTGATTGCAGGGTGGCGGGATCCGAGCCGCTGTCTGTGACGTCACCAGTCTGTGGCCGCAGTGGCTTCTGGCGCTGGCTATTGTGGCCGGGCACACGGCTGTCACCTTCTACCTGCCAGTGCCCGGCTGTCCAACGTGAGTACCGCACGGGCCTGTCTCACCAGAGCACGAGCTTGTCTCACCATCGCACGAACCTCTGTCACCACCGCACGAGCCTGTCTCACCACCGCACGAGCCTGTCTCACCACCGCACGAGCCTGTCTCTTACCGCGCGGGCCTGTCTTCCCACCGCCTGAGCCTGTCCCATCACCGCCTGAGCCTGTCTCTTGCCGCACGAGCCTGTCTCTTGCCGCACGAGGCTGTCTGCCCACCGCACAAGCCTGTCTCTTACCGCACGAGGCTGTCGCTTACCGCACGACCCTATCATCCACTGCACGAAGTCACCTCACCCCCCCCCCCCCCTACCGCAACAGACCGTCCCCCATCTTACGAACTATCCTGTTCGTTTACTGCACGGACCTGCTCACCATCGTACGCGCCTGTTTCCCCACCGCATGAGCCTATCTCCACACCGCATGAACCGGTCTCCCTACCGCCCGAGCCTGTCTCACCACCGCACGAGGCTGTCTCACCACCACATGAACCGGTCTCCCCACCGCACGAGGCTGTCTCACCACCGCACGAGGCTGTCTCACCACCACATAAACCTGTCTCCCCACCGCACGGGCCTGTCTCACCACCGCACGAGGCTGTCTCACCACCACATGAACCTGTCTCCCCACCGCACGGGCCTGTCTCACCACCGCACGAGGCTGTCTCACCACCACATGAACCTGTCTCCTCACCGCACGAGCTTGTCGGGCTGTCTTTCCGTGCCAGCGGTCCCTCATCAGTAGCAGGCGCAGGCGGACCTGCCTCCCGGTGCCCGACAGCCCGGCATGTGTACTGTACGGACCTGTCGCACTCCATCCGCCAGTCCTCACAAGCCCCACACTTGCCCTCGTTGGATTTTCAGCGTCACGTTAGTAGTCGGTGGTTTCTTGACCTCCCAGGCTAAACTGTTAATGCACGATGAATATGGAGCCAAAAACGCATTATTTCCGTACGACATGCAATAATATCCCGAAATGCGGTGCGATTCCTTGAAGAGCCTGGTTTATTGAAAATCCAAGCAAAAGATATCCAGGTAATCGACAAGGTTTGATAAAGCATTGTACATTTCCTTTTCAGGGGCTACCTGGGTCCTGGTGGTCTGTATGACAACGCCAGTGTTCCGGGGTCATGCATAGGTGGCGCTGCAGGTTACGTGGACCGATTGATTGCAGGCGATGCGCATATCTATCAGAATCCAACTGCAAAGCATATTTACGGTTCCGGTGCCTTTGACCCGGAGGGATTTTTAGGTAAGTGGAGGCCGGCGAAGGCAATGCATCTATTCAAACACCTGACTGACTTAAAGCTTGTGTGGTCATTTACTATTTAATCCATTTACTGAAACCCAGCTGCCGCTGCATGCTGACGGCCCGCCGTGCCTTCTCGGCAGGCGTGCTGATGTCGTGCGTGAGCGTGTTCCTGGGGGTGCAGGCTGGCATGACGCTGCACCTGTACCGCGCCTGGCCGGCCCGGCTGCGGCGCTGGGCCGCCTGGGGCCTGCTGACCGGTGCCGCCGCCGCAGCTCTCTGCGGCTGCTCTCAGGACGGCGGCCTCATCCCCGTGAACAAGAACATCTGGTGTGTGATGCTGGCTGGGAATCAACGTCCGGCCGCAGACAAAGTTTACCTTCATTTTCCCGTGTTGTTCTTAACATAGCAGGCAACACTTCGCTTGATACGTGCCGCCGCATGAGGAAAAACGTAAGAATGTAGGTATATAGGAAAACGTTTCGCATCTACACTTTGAGATCCGACTCCAAACATCATTTGCGGTGGCTGAAGCGATGGTGAACGGCGTGCTGTGACATTTCCGTTCATTCCGTTTCAAAGTGTTTCACGAAACAGTCAGCGTCAGTGCAGCATGTGTCATGGAATGTGTGGTTTTGTTGTATCAGTCGGCATTCTAAAAGCCCTCAATTTACCCACGACATGGCATCATTTTCCTTCTTGGTAATGATTGAGATGTACGCTGGCATAAAAAACTCAGTAACTGGCTTGCGGATTCATTCTTCGTAAGAATGAAAAGCTCTCCGAGAGAAATTCCTGAACCGCGAGTTCTGCAACACAGTCGAGCGGGGAACATGGCCACAGCGCGTGTCGTGTAGCCGACCTTGTTTGTAAAGACGCCGCCCCAAGTGATCGAAAACTCCGTATGGCGGCCGCTGGTACCAGGCTTAACGCGGGGCGTATCCAGGGGCTTGCAGACCGACCAGAATCACTTCCATTGCGTGTCGTAGGGACAGCAGTGTGTTCCAAAGGACGATCAGCTCTGGAATAATCCAGTTATGGAGTGCAAGTCCTCCACATTTTACGCTGTTTTGTGGTCTCGAGTCTGCAAAGTGCGGATAACGAGGACTGCTTCACAAGGACTGCTAACGAGGACTGCTTCACAAGGACTGCTAACGAGGACTGCTTCACAAACTCGGTTTGTTTCCAGGTCGCTCTCTTATACCCTGCTGACGGCCAGTTTTGCATTTTTCCTGCTGATTCTGTGTTACGTCACCGTGGACGTGCTCAGGTGGTGGAGCGGAAGCCCGTTCTTCTATCCAGGTAATCCACGCTATGACGTGACAGGTTGAGTGGTGTACTAAACTAACAATCATATCTGGCTGCCCTGCACAAAGAAACAGAACTCTCTAGCTTATGTACAACACACGGAATTTCATACATATGTATGTATACCACAACCACCACCACCCCCAAATATATGCATATGGGAGGGTAATTGTCAGGGGGGGGGGGGGTCAGTGGGTGTGGCTGGAGGGGTGGCGATGTGGGTGTGAGTATGAGTGTGGGTGTGTTTGTGTGTATGTGTGGGGGTGTCAATAACATCCACGCATAGCGCATGAGCCGTGATGTTCGCGATCGAAGCGTGTCTTTTGGACTTTTAACTTCCTTCGTTTTTGTTGCTAGTTGCAACCCATTAAATTGTTTGGTTGTGCGTTGGTGTCGTCCCATGTTTTCCAACCTGGTTTCATTCCATATGGCTTATTCTACGCCACGTCATCACTTTTCAGAGGTGAAGGGCATGCCATAACCCTTTAGCAGTTGCTGTAGTTGCGTGGTAATGTTGCACTGATCACTTTTTCTGTTAGCTCTAGGTAATTGCAGCCCCTTTCGGTTCTCTCGGAGGTACACATCAGGTTACGGCCCACTCGGCCCGATAACAGCCACACTGTAACCCCTCTCAGTTATAAGAAAGCTTTCCTTTCCTGACAGCACCCGAAAATGAGCATACAGTTGGCTTAACGCAGCGCTGTAAGATCATTCCGAATGCATGTGCGCATGCCCCACGCCCGTCCCTTTCGGAAAATACAGCGCATTTGAGCAGCGTATCGGACACAGCTACGTACCGCTTCCCCTTCTCCGTTTGCCGAATCATCAACAATTGCGCTGTCATCTGAAATATCGTAGCATCCTCATAACAATCATAACTATCGTAGCTCAAATGTATCCCTCTCGGTGTGACGCCGGTGCCGTCCCGTGATGGCTGACCGTTCCCCGCCGTCCATTCCAGGCCGGAACGCAGAGTATCGTTCCCCCCACGGCCTGCTCTGGGCAGGAAGCCGGCTGACCGTTCCTCCGCAGTCCGCTCCAGGCCGGAACGCGGGTGATCGTTCCCCCACCGCCCGCTCTGGGCAGGAAGCCGGCTGACTGTTCCCCCACGGTCTGTTTCAGGAAGGAACGCGCTGCTGATGTACGTGGGTCACATGATGGCGTTCGAGCTGTTCCCGTTCCAGTGGGAGTACGGCGCCATGGACAGCCACCTGTGGCGGCTGGCCGAGGCCCTCTGGGGCGTGCTCTGCTGGCTGGTGGTGGCTGTCTGGCTGCACGAGAAAAAATACTTCTGGAAACTGTGAATGGCGCATGGGTAGCGACGATGCAGCCCACTCGGAAGGAGTCTTCTCTTTATGCAGTTGGTAGCGCACATTTCAATCCTTGAAGTGGATGGTTAAATAGACGATAGAATGCGGTGAGATCTTGTGTTCGCGCGAAATGTGGTATTTCTTGACAACGCACAGGACGTGGCACTGTGTGATGAGCCAAGTTATTCGGGAGCTAAAACGACCGGCTGAAATAGCCTACGCCTTTACCATGGAGCGTTGTGTGATTTGAACGGATCAAGTGATGCGATTTCTTTGAGGCACGCCAGACATAAAGCCTTAGAAGGTCCCACGATACGATGATACTTTATGCGCCTGAGAAGGTAGAGCAGGTGGAGTACAATGCATACATGTCCGCAGGTGAGTATTTCTGCGCCATCAAGCTTGCCGCCTAAATGAACAAACGAATAAAAGACATGTACAGGTAACCAGTTCTATCCTGACGGCCATTTTGGATCGGCCATCACTGGGATGCACAATGTGCCAAATGGAATGTTTGTGCTGTATCTGAAGGAACCAATAAAGGCATGTGTACATCACCAGTTTTATCCGGACAGTCCTCTTGAATTGAATATCTCTGGAGCGTGCAACGTTCCACGTTCAGTCTGCTCTGTCGCTTAAATTGCAAAATCTCGACTGGTTTTCTGACGCCAACAAACAGTATCCATTGCATTGCTTAGTCCACATCTTCTCTGACGCGTATCAAAAACAGCAAGCTGCAGTTGAGTGTCTAGTGCAAACCTACTCTGTGAGGTCAAGTTTTCCGACTTTACAGGAGCCAGCGTTTTCAGTTACTTAATGAAAGCTTTAACAACGTTCCCAAACACTAATACGGTCTGCATGTTTTAACCTTAGCACATCCCGCACCGGACGTTCCAGATGCATACGGGACAACAAAGCACGGACCACGCTGTTTTCACGATTAGTTCAGCAGCGTGATGTGCAGTGACTCGAACAACACAACGGTACAAAGCTGCCTGTAATTCTGACTTAAGGAGTGTGCTTAACACAAGGATGACTTTTAACATTGGATATCAGCCGCTCTGTCAGCGCATCATATCAGTGAACGGAGGACCAAATCTGCATCACTAGCACGCGGGCACATATTTTTAAAATGATACAATTTCCTCCGACTGCCCGGCCCCATTCCGGCCGTTTCATGCCCCGAGCTCGTGACTGAAGTTCAGAATGAGGCAGCGCAGCTTGCATGACTCGGACCGGCCACACATTGGCGCGGACCAGTCTCTTCGGCTGGGGTCTCTTCCGCTTAACCTACACGCGTGTGCCCATGTCGTCTCATGAATCGATGTGAAGAGGGTTCAACATTTTGAGTGTCCAAAGTCGGCGTTGGGCAGGGAGACGGCCAGTGGGCATGACAAACACCGGTTTTGTGTTGCCAGGGGAGCAAGTAGAGCAAAGAAGTTGCATTCATGCTTATTGACAATATTTCTGTTTGACGAGTGACAATATTGACAGCATATGCCTGGCGATATTTTTGTTCAGTTGGCTGCGCTCTGTGCTAACCTGGGCTATTATAAACAATGCTGCCACTGAAGCGTAAGTGCGTTGTCTTAACTCCGTTTTGGCGTACGCGGATGGAATGGTAGGTAAAGTGAAATCTGTTCGAAATAATGAGAGTTTTGACGCAGGCTCATCATACTCATCATATGTCGTCGCATGATAATGTGTAGTATCTCTAGAAGCATCTACATGAAGCCTGATGGGTGTCTATATTACAGCGCTAGTGTGTGTGAGCAACCATGATTATAATGAACTAGCGTACGTGTGCGCTAGCCGACTATAGCGAACAAGCAAACGTAAGGTATTTAGATGTCTATAGACATCCATCGAGCACCACCACGGTTGCCTACATGCTTGCAATCTAGTGAAGGCATAAACAACGCGTCATTCGTTGGTTCCATAAATCGAACGTTAAACCACGCGCGTTAAAACCAAACGAAGAGCTCGGCTAATCCACGGTAAATATTTCCTGAGAATGCAGGAAACTGTTCGAGCGCTCGTCCGACTAAGCCTCGCGGGAAATAACGCTAACCACGTCTGGCAAAAATGGACTTCCGTGCGAACGGCACTCTGATACTGTGGACTAGTTCTGGGAAAATCCACGGCATACGGTTTAAGCGTGTCGTCATTGTGATTCCACATCACCAGGTCGTAGCCCTTGCAGCCAGCCGTCCATGGCGCTCCAAAATTCACCCCGTAGGGTGTGCAGGATGTAAATACGGATTCATGCTAAAAGAATCCTGACTCTCTGGCGGCCCCCGCACGCTATTCGCTGGCACTAATTTGTTGTCCTTTGACCTTAAGCCCAGACATCTGACCTGCTCAGCCCGACTGTCCAGCCTAAGGCGCTTAGATGCTGGGTTGACAGCAGCCCGGCGCGATGCTGATTGGCTGATTTTGAGCAAGGAGGGGGGGGGGGGGCACAGGCAGTGAGCCCAAGCCGGGGTGTATAACACGAAGAAATATGGACATCGTTGCCACCCAAGTGGCCGAATATTTTAACACTGGCAGTGGAAGGTATATGAAGTTGGATGATCACCTTCATGTAAAACGAATCAGCTAGCTCCACGTTCCTCTATTTAGAAAATGAAGGAGGCTGTTACCATGGTGAATGTAATGTATTGAACTATTGGCTGGAATAGCTTTGCATTCAATGGTCAGCATATATTTCTAAAAATGTGATCATGAAGTTATATGTCGAGATAAGGGGTGAGGCACACTTGGTATTGCGCCATCCGTGAAGATAGTTCAATAATAAACTTTGACAAACTGCTGATTAGCACGCGACCGGGTGGCTGATGGAATACCACACGCTCGGGTGGGTGCCAACTCTCCCCTGACATCTCAAGAACTAAGAGAGCTTAGGGACACTTAACTGACAGGGTGGATTGATCTGCTGTCAATTTACTTTGACTTAAAGTTGAAGTTTTTATGTTATCATTTCCGCACTAAAAAGGTCAAACAAGATCAAGCTCCAGGTTGTATGCAAGGTATTTCCGTGCCTCACCATGCAATCACCTGGAACTTAGATACCTGTTCTAAGCAAAAGTTCACTGGTTCTCATTTAGGTCAGCGATCTTTTTTGACCTTGGAATGTCAAGGTGACCAAAAACCTACGAAAATGTCTTGATTAGTTCCATTTGAATAAGCCTCAAGGGTTACGCTAGGCGCAATGTTCCTAAAAGCGAAAGGCCGACCTAGGTCTTTTTAAGTCAGTGGCCGACTGTATGAAGTGACTGACGACTATGAAGTCCGCGTAAGATGTCTGTTACGGTCCCTGTTAGCAAGGCAATTGAAATGAGTGAAAGGAATCAGAGACTACCCCTCAACGCAAAGCAAAACAAGAAAGAAACTACCCAAGAAAAAGCAGGCTGGTCCCGACCTCGGTTTGACCTTGGAATGTCAAGGTATTACTTCCTCAAGATTAAATGTAGTGGTGTTTGAATCACTTCATTTTCTCTGTGACGGTAAGAGTGATGTGAGTGATGCCGTATGGCTTTACATGGTGTCATGATATTTATACAAACTTAGCGACCGTGTTGTGTCTACTTTATGTCATCTATTCTTCTTTCCAAGTGCCTCTCCCGCTCCGCCTTCCCATTGGACGCGCACATCAGAGCGCTCCAGTTACTGCCTGTGCCAGCGGACCCCTCATGACGAAGCTCTTCCAGCGGAAAAGGATGTTAACGTGACTCGTGATTTCCGCCGACGCAGATGGCCTGAGAGCGATCTCCACCAGCCGACATTCTCCTTCCTTCCGTCTCCGGCTCCGCGCGACGCCATACGGACCCGTCTACGCTGTGGGCTCGGGCGCGCCGCGCACCTCAGACACAGACGGCACGCTTTAAAACGGGTCAGCGATCGCGGCCGTATACGGTGACGTCAAGAAGGCGGCCCGCTGGCAGCGTGAGTCAGGCCGTCATCAGCAGGTCGGGGACGTGACCGGGGTGACGCGTCCAGCGCGCTCCCATGGCGCTTTTCCGCCTCGGACCTCGAGGAAAGTATGCAAAAGACGCCACAAGGGCAGCATGAAGATCCTTACGGTTAAAATAGGTGCAGGCGGACAGTTTTGTTCAGTGGAGGACGGGCGCCGACTGCAGCCGGGAGCGTACCGCAGCCTCAGCATGAAGGTGAGTTACAAAATGAACAAGTGTACAGCACGCTGGTATAACAGCGAACATATGCAGTGTGAGGCTGTCGATATTCCAGCGTTAATAGTTAATAGCATTCGATTCTAATATGCTGGTTGTGTTAGCCTAAGTATGATGAAGTCGTCAATGCGTCTATCGCACCTGTGTGCAGTATTGTTCTCAGAGGTGTAGAAAGCAAGTAAAGAGCTAATTTGTCGATCTGTCGGATATTTAGCCGTGGCATGTCTGAAAGTCAGGTTAGAGTCGTGCTTCAGCATTGTATGCAGAAAGGGCGCATCCAGCATGCTGGATAAAATGAATTGTACTATTGTGTATGCTAAATATTTCTAAATAAAAATCTTGTTCTATGTCAGTATGTCAAAAAATATTATATGTCAGCGTGTCAAGCTAGTGCGTGACGTTTGTCGGCGCAAAGTCAGGACTACAATGAAAAATGCGGCAATGACGCATTGAAGAGCATTTTAGTAAACAGGGCAGTTGCGTCGTCTAGAGTAGTCTTTTATACCAAAAAATTTACCATTAGCTATGAGTGAGTTCATTTCATCGTGTCTAACGCTTTCTTCAATGGCCACTCCCTTAGGCCTTTCTTGCTTGTTTCAGCTTCCAACGCGCGTTATGCGTTGGTCGCGCCATTTTCATCACGGGTCACCGCAGCCCGTCCCGTTGCCAGTCTTTACCTACTCTGTCCTTCCAGTTATTGATATATCTGTTGAGAAGATCAGGCGGGTGCAGTGCCCTTTTTAAATAAGTGCATGCCGGCAGTGTAAACGAAACATTGCCAAGGTCTCATGTCTGTACGCGTCACACCAGCCGTTCGACATTACGACCGGTCGATTGATTAAGACGCTTTTCTGTGAATTACATCTATTCCGAGCTTTTCACAAAAATGCGGTCTCACATTGGTTTGCCATGGAAAATAACCCTTCAGCAGGAAAACCATTTTGGAACAAGACAAGTGCTTTTGCTGTTTATCGTTTTCCGCTTGAGATCGGGGGCACAATTTGGAGTGACCGAAATCTAGATAAAAATCAAATTTCATGCGTAGACTAGATCAACGTTATCGACCTAGTCCTCCTCCAAAACAGTTTTAGAGAGTGACACCCCTGGGCGTGCCAGTTCCTTTTCATGGTCAACTTAAAGCAAACAAAGAGGTTGAACAGCAATGAGCGTGCCCAAATTTTCCTTGCGATGAAGCACAGATTCTGCGGAAAACAGTCGGAAAAAACCGCTGATGGCAATGAGGAAACATCGGCCCTATGCCTCCTGATTTCCTCGGATAACCCTGACTAGCATCGGCGTGCCATGCCTACGTCGCTCACGCTACATTCGTGTGTCCACAGTTGCACGTTGTGCTGGTGCTCTGT